GTCACAGTATAGGGAGAGCAATTAGGGTCACATAACAATGTATGTATAAATTTTTGTATAAGAGACTAACTTGAAATGTAAACTTTCACTTAAACGACAATAAACAACAAAAAAAGAAGTGCCCTGCTTAGCCTTCAGGTTTAGGGACTGTCCAGCCCAGTGGAACCTTAGCAACCAAGTACTCCCTCACCGGCACTTGACCTTTCAGTAAATGAAATTCCCAAGAAAAATTATACGCAGCTATTTGACTTCTCTACTTTTGTTTAGTAAAATTTGCATGTTGCTTGGGGGAAAACGAGTGTATTAATTGATAATGTCATCAGCAATGCATGAAATTATCCATTTTCCCTGGGCATTACAGGATAATCTTTACTAATTGATTAGGAGTAGGGGGTACTCTGTTTTGGGATTGGCACACTTAAGCCTTTTTCAGTTTTCTGGTTATATTTCCCCTTGTTGGGAACTGTCTGTTTACTTTCTATGAGCACTGATTTGTTGGATATCTTTATGCCAAAGTAACCGATCTTCCTTCAGCCACAAATGTTTGTTCCAGTCATGGCTTTTTTATTGGAAAATATTAGATTATACACAGTACACAAAACTGAATTCCAGATGGACTAAAATGTTTTCTAAAATCATAGAAAAAATTGAAGAGAACTAAATATCAAATTCTTAGTAGTTGACGGCTAAATAATATAAAGATTAAAATGTGTAACATGTAGAGATGTCTGAATAAAAATTTCAAAATCCAAAATAAGTATGGAATGCTGCTGACAAGACAGAGGTGGGAGGTAGTGGCTGAGGCGACTTGTTATTAGAGTGAGTGGGACTCCAAGGGTCGTTCTGGCTTCTGATGACACTTCCCAGAAAGGCAGACTATCCACATATTCTGGAAGGTAGTGTGCTGCCTCCTGCTCCTTGAAGAGGAAGAGTGTTGAACATGTGGCCTGGGGATCCTCCTCAGGGAGAGGGGCACCAAAGCTCACTTCCTGGTCAAATCAACACCTGAGCCCTGCATGCTCACCAATGGCTCAATGAAAAGCCCAAGACAGCAAGAAAAGCGAGAATGATTTTTAGCACACTCTGTTTAAGAAGGCAGGAAAGAAAAATATACATTTCAGAAAGATTTCCCTGAAAACCATTTAGGGTCAACCCCTAGTGGAGGATTTAGCAGTCCATAATGACTCACACTATGTAACTTAAGTTGTCTTGTGATATATATAGAAGGACTTACTAAACAAATATTTCTGTATATTGAATCCAGCTTTTATGCTCATCTTGTTGGAATATGACTTTGTCTCTAACTCATCCACATGATGTAGAAAGGGTGACCTGAGTTGTGGCAGACTGTGAACAGCAGCCACTGAATAAGCTGCCAGCTGTGTACTCAATCCAGTGGGGTCTGTGGCTTCCTTTTGTGGGGAACTTCTGAGGCAACATCTCAGTTACCTCAGCTCTTCTGAAGTAACAACTCAGTAATCTCATCTTCTCTCTGAAAGACACCTCAGTAATCATAGCTCCTCTCTGAAGTAACACTCTGTGATTCTGGTTCCTCTGAAGTAACACCTTGGTGATCTCAACTCCTCTAGGCAGTGTCTTCACAGAGAAGGCAATGCAAGCTCTTGCCTGTATCACAGCATATTGCTGTGGACTTAAAGATCAACACTCTAGTGCCTCATTTTCCCCAAAAGCTGATAACTCTTTTCAAAAGGGAAAAAAACCGTTCTCCTTCTACTAGGTACTTAACCTCTTTAGAAGTTGAATGTGGTTTGAATCTCATGAAACATTTCTTTTGTGATCTGCTGCTACGAGAAATGGCTCCTACACAGATTAAATTACAAGGATTGTATCCCTTACAGCAGAGCAAATAATTTTGAACAAGTTAAACACAAAATCTTAATTGTGAATAAATCAGATTCATCGTAGTATATGGCAATAGATACTAAACTCTTTTTCATTTCAGTAAAAAGTGAAAAAGCAAAACAACCCTCAAACACAGGAACAGAAACAATAAAGCTAGTTAAAAAAAAAAAAAAAAGCTATTTGAATTTGAGAATTTGGTTGTTTAAAAAATATGCACCAAAAAACTGTCTTTTTAGTAACTTAAAAAAAAAATACTGTAAGGTTCAAAGAGGCACCCACTTGGTGTAGCAGCTGTGGGTCTAGACCTTGAGTGTGGAGCTCCCTTCCTGCACTTGCATGGGGCTCATGGGCCTGCAATGCCTCTAGTGGTCTCTGGGACACAGGGTTTGTAGGTTATAAGGGTGGGTTTTGAGGATAATACCCATTTATGAGTTGAATTTTCACTAAAAAGTTAAGACTTTCCTTCTGATCTTGAATAAAGTTAAAGCACCAGATAAAAGGTTTTATAAATTTACATTTCTCTGTAACTGTATATCTAGACTTTTTTTTTCCATACAAAACAGGTGACTTTCCATGCGTAGGATATCGAGCCATTTTACATAATACTTGATAATACACCCACACCTCACTTATCGACATGGTTAGGTTCCAAAGACCAGACTGTTATGCAAAAATCAGCATTATGCAAAAGTGGAAGACGATCACATAAGGTCACAAAATGGAGGATTACTACATCATTACATAACTGCCAAATTACATCATCACATAACTGCCAAACCACCGAGAATCATAGCCCAGCCAAGCTGACACATAACCATCACAGCCAGCGTTACTCTCGCCTTGCACCTTGGCATTCGTTACTGCCAGACGTATGTCATTAATGTGCCAAATAGTCAGATAGTAGATTTTTTACTACTGTTGTAAACGTGAAATGTTGGATAATGAGATAGTCGATAAGTGAGGAGTAGGGGTATGTATTTTATATCACTTATCTACACAGCACTTTATTGTGCTAACAGAATACTGAAAATAGCCAAACATTCTAATTTCAAGTGCAATAATTAGAATGGTCAGTTATATTTAGAGAAGGCATGTAATGTTCTGTGAGAAAAAACTTTATTTGTGATATAAGAAAGTTTTATTGTGACAGCAGTCCTCATATCTTAACTTTTCTTAGATACTTTAAATGAATCCTCTAATGTTAAATAAGGAAATACTTATGGGTAAGTCTTTACCAAAATTTACTCTAACGTTACAGTTACTCTCCAATACAACTGTGAGACATTGAAAAGAACTCCAGGCATCCTCCAAAGTTTTTCCATAGGAAGGACATGCCCAGAGCTTCTCTTTGGAGTTATCTTCAGACACTGAATCACCATAGAGGGCTTCCTGTAGACTTAACAGAAGCTTCTCCTGAGTTGAAGGTTTTTCAGTGTTGTGTGCATAGAGTTTCTCTGAGTGTAGATTCTTCCCAGTACTTGTGGCAGCTGACGGTTACAGCTTCTTGTGCACTTTCTGGTGCTGGATCAGATGCCCATGCTGATTGAAGGCACGCCCACACTCCCCACACTCATAGGGCTTCTCACCTGTGTGGATCCTCTGGTGCTGGATGAGCACAGAGTACTGGCTGAAGGCCTTCCCACAGCTATTGCACTCATAGGGCTTCTCGCCCGTGTGGGTCCTCAGGTGCACGATCAGAGTTGCTTTCAGGCTGAAGGCTTTGCCACATTCCACGCACTCAAAGGGCTTCTCGCCCGTGTGGATTCTCTCATGTTGAATTAGAGATCTGCGTGCACTGAAGGCATGTCCGCACTCACTGCACACATAGGGTTTCTCCCCGGTGTGAATCCTCTGGTGCTGAATCAGGTGTGAGTGCTGAACAAAGGCCTTCCCACACTCATAGCACTCGTAGGGCTTCTCCTCAGTGTGGATCCGCTCATGATTCATCAAGGTGGATCGGTGGCTGAAGGTTTTCCCACACTCGCTGCACTCATAGGGCTTCTCTCCGGTGTGCACATTGTGATGTTGAATGAGGACTGAGCGGTCACTGAAGGCCTTCCCACACTCACTGCATGTGTAAGGCTTCTCTCCAGTGTGGATCCTCTGATGCTGGACGAGTGTCCTCTTCACACTGAAGGTCTTTCCACATTCACTGCACTCATGAGGCTTCTCGCCAGTGTGCACCCTTTGATGGCTCCGCAACACGGTGCTGTGGTTGAAGGCTTTCCCACATAATGGACACACATATGGCCTTTCTCCTGTGTGGATCCGCTGGTGCTGGATAAGATGTGAGAGCTGAGTGAAAGACTTCCGACATTCAAGACATTCATGAGGCTTCTCTCCTGTGTGTATTTTATGATGCTGGGCAAGGTCCGAGCTCACTCTGAAGGCTTTCCCACATTCGTTACACTCATAGGGTTTCTCTCCTGTGTGAATTCTCTTGTGTTTACTGAGGACTGAGCTCTGGCTGAAGGCTTTCCCGCATATATTGCATACATAGGGTTTCTCCCCAGTGTGGATTCTCTGATGTTGAAGGAGATGGGAGCTCCGACCAAATGATTTCCCGCATTCCACGCACTTGTAGGGTTTCTCGCCATTAAAAACCGCCGGATGCTGACTAAGGGGCATGCTCTGGCTCAAGACCTGAACTTCCCTTTGGCCAACGGGGTTTGAACTTAGACAGGAGCTTCTTTCAATTTCATTGCATTCTTGATCAATTCTCCCTGTGGCAGTTTTCCCCAGAGTCACTGTTATTTCCTCTGAAATTAATGGCTTCAGATTCACATCCCTATTTTGGTTGTCTTCCTTGGTTTCACAGTCTGAAACAACAAATCCAAAGTGAAAATGTTAACACTATTCACAAATGCAGAGTAAGCATAACTCTGGAGCTGGCTTTGCTGGTGAAGGGGCAAGGGGGACAGCCAACTAGAAATGGGGAGATGACATGTATTTAAACAGGAACACATCGAGGCTAAGAGCAGAGTTTAAGAGAACAATGTAAACCCTAGTCTGAGGTCGTTCTCCTACACTAAGTGCACACATGTAAGAAGCACGGGCAGCAGCTGAGTAACAGTCCATTGCTGCCTGTGCCCTGCCCTCCTTGGAATTCTCATGTGGACCAAGTTTCCAGAGGCCATTTGGAGAGCGAATAAATGCAAGATATGGGGAGCCCTGAAGAGCAGATAGAACAGCACATACATGGGAAGTCTGGTCAAGAAAGTGTAGGGGAGAGGTATAAGCTATTGTATGCAGGTCACCAGGGGGATGTAGTCATAGCAACCCCATGTGACAGAGCAGAACTGCCCCATAGGGTGTACTTGGCTGTTATCTCTACAGAAGCAGATTGGGAGGTTTTTCTCCTGCAGAACTGCTGGGTGGGTTTGAACTGCTAACCTTTTGGTTAGCAGCCAAGTGCTTATCCATTGGGCCAGCAGGGATCCTTGTTCACTGTCTTAGCTATAACAAAATACCACAAAGTGGGTGGCTTTGAAGAAAAGAAATTGTCTTACAGTTCTGGAGGCTAGGAGCCTGAATTCAAGGTGTTGGCAGGGCCATGCTCTGTCTGCTCTAGGGGAAGATCCTTCCTTGTCTCTTCCAGTTTCTGGTAGTCCTGGACATTTACTGGTGTTTCTCAGCTTTTAGATGAATATTTACGTGGCATCTGTCTTACCTCTGTGCAACTCTGTCTCCTGTCTGTTCTTCCCTTTTATAAGATACCACTCACAAGGGATTAGGACCCATCCTACTCTGGTATGTCCTCCTTAATTTAACAGATAACATCCTCAAAGAAAGAACCTATTTCCGAAGAAGGTCATATTCACAGGTACAGGGGTTAGGATTTCAACATACCTTTTTTGGAGGACTCAATTCAATCCATAACACACAGTTTTGTTAGATTTATTCTTAAGTATTTTCTATTTTTTGTGGCATTTAAATGATACTGTTGTTTTAAATTTCAATTCCTGATTGTTCATTGCTGGTATATAGAATATAATTCATTTTTGTATATTAATCTTATAGCCTTCAAACATGCTAAACTCACTTATTCTAATAGCACTCTTGTAGATTCCACAGGATTTTCTACAAATATGATCATGTCATTTCCAAACAGATGGTTTTCTAATTTGGATGCCTTTTATTTCCTTTTCTTGCCTTATTGCACTGGCTAGAACCACCAGTACAATGTTGAATAGAAGTGGGAGAGCAGTCATCCTTGCCTTGTTCTTGATTTTAGGGATAAAGCATTCAATCCTTTCACCAGTAAGTATGAAGTTGGTTGTAGGTATTTCATAGATACCCTTTATCAGGTTTGAGGAGGTACTCTTCTATTCCTAGTTTACTGAGAGTTTTAAAGAAGAATGGATGTTGGATTTAGTAAAATGCTTTTTCTGCATTAAGACAATCATATGATTTTTCTTTTTTAGTCTGTTAATATAGTGAATTATATAATTTTTTTGAATACACTCTTTATTTTGGAACTGGGGAGTCTGGCTCCAGGCCAAAATCTTACGTGTAATCTTTTCTTTCAGGTCTGACCATAGGCAATTACAAAGCTTTTCTTGGCAGGCCTCATGGGGGAAGCTGCCCTCCGCACACCAGACTTGGTACATAGCCAGTGCCTTGTAGTCTTCTGGAGAGAACTGTAATCAAGGACTCAATCCCCACCCACCCCCCGACCCCAGCCAGCCAGCCATGTTCATACTCATATCTGCATTCCTAGCCCAGGTGCTTCCATCCAGAGACCTCCTTATTGGGGGCCTTGGCTAAGGCACTTTTCTTCACTTTGACTCAGTACCTTTCTACTCCTAGCCCTTCCCCCTCTCCCTCCTCCTAGCACATAGGTTCATAAAGAGATAGGATCCTTTTGTTTGGGGATCCTCAGCAGTGAGACAATTCTCCTCATCTGCACTGCATCCAACAGACCCTCATCTGGTGCTGTTCTGTGGGGAAAATGGAACGTTAGGGAGCTTGCACCTCTTTTGCCTCTTGTTTGTACTGTAGCGGTAAGTGAATAAAGGCCTGATTGTTACTTTCAGTTTGACTTGTCCTAATTGACCATGTCGGCACCTGATTGCTCAACAAAAGTAATCTAAAATTTACAGAGGCGTTGCAATGATAGCACAAAGAGTTCCCTTATACCCTCCACCCAGTTTTCTCTATTGTTAACATCTTACATCACACTAGTACGTTTGTCAAACTAAGAAACCAACATTAGTGCATTACTATTAACTAAACTCCAGACTGTATTTGGATTTCACCCATTTCTCCAGGTACCACACTGTGTTTAGTTATCATGTTTCCTTAGCCTCTTCTGGTCTGTGGTAGTTTCTTAGTCTTTCCTCGTTTATCATGACCTTGACAATATTGAGGACTATTGATGTCCGTCTTTCCAAACTCTAGTCTTTGGAAATAAGTCACTAAGTCTAGCCACCCTAAAGGGGGGAAGATCAAGTTCCACTTCCTGGAGAGACGCCTATCTACATATGTTACTTGGAATTCTTCTGTAAGAAAAATTTTTCTGTCTGTTTTATGTATTTATGCAGTAGTTTCTTAACATCAATATGGAGTCATGTATATTTACTTTGCACTTTGGGTTATAATCCAATGCTACATATTGCTTTTGTTGCTCAAATTGTTCCAGCATTGACTATTAGGAGCCCTTTCAGGGTGGCTCATGTGTTTCTGTGACATGTCCCTATCTTTTTGTTTTTTGAGCACTTCCTTACTTTCTGGTATTATAAGATAGTCTGGGCTCATCTTGGTTTTCCCTGCCCCAGCCCTAAAATCAACCATTTCTTCAGGGAACTCTGGTTCTTTTTATTTATTTATTAAGAAACCAAGATTTGTGCTCTTGGTGTACTCATTGCTACAGGGTGTCAATGCCTCTAGACCCTCTCAACAGAGAGTTAGGTAATATACATATGTATACTAACCCAGGTAAACACGCGTATCAGTAATTCCTTTCTGTATCTACTCATCTGTGGACACAGACTCAGGTACACACACATTTATTTATTCATTAAGCTACACACGAGCTCATACTGATGTCTCTAGCACTAATCTAGTACCTACCACAGGGTTCATTCTAGTCTTCCTTTCTTATCTGTAACTTCCCTCTCTAGTGCGAAACCTGTCTCCCACGATCTACCAAATATTTACTTATTTGTTCAACTCGACACACATGTAAAGCAATTTCAGAATTGTTAATCTCTACCTCCATGAGGAAATTTACCAACTGGAATACAGTGCTTATGCATAATTCATCTGTCTGTAGCCTTACAGGGTCCCATCAAAACAGCTTTCCAAAGTTACATAGGTCATTTTCTTTTTACTCCATCCCCTACAGTGTGGTTATTTCATACATCTGTGATACAGTTAGTCATTTGTCATAGTCTGCCTTCTAACATTGATTTTTTTTTAATGTTAAACCAACTCTGCATATCTATAATAAATCCCTCTTGAGCATGATGTATTATCTTTTTTATATATTGTTGGACTCCACTTACTAAATTTTTGGTTTACAATTTTTCAACCACATGTTCCTGAGGGAAATTGGTTTGTAGTTTTGTTTTTCTTTCTTGTAGTGTCTTTGTCTGGTCTTGGTAACACAGTAACGTTGACCTCTTAGAATGAGTTCAAAGGTATTACCTCCTTCAATATTTTGGAAGTGTTTGTGAGAAGTAGAATTATTTTCTCCTTAAATGTTTGAGTTTGCCAGGGAAGCCATTTAGGCTTACTGTTTTCTTTGTGGGAAGATTTTTTAAATACAAGCTCAATTTCCTTAGTGGACACAGGGCTATGAGGGTTTTTCAATTCTTTAGTGAACTTTGATATTTTGTGTCTTTCAAGGAATTAGTCCATTTCATCTAAGTTATCCAATTTGTTGGAATAAAAATGTCCATAACTCTCTTTTTACATCTGTAGGATGATGTAGTCATGTCACTTCTTCCATTCCTGATATGAGTAATTCGTGTCTTCTTTGTTTCATGATCGGTCTGACCAGAGAAATATCAATTCTAGTTCACTGATTTCTGCTCTGATCCTCATATTTCCTTCTTTGTCTGGTTACTTTGGGTTTCATTTGCTCTTCTTTTCTAGTTTCTTAAAGTGAAAGCTTTAAGAAAGTAGAGGATCAGCAAAAAAGAGGAAAACCCTCAAAGAGATGGATTGACACAGTGGCTGCAACAATGGGCTCAAACATAGCAAAGATTGTAAGGATGGTGGTGCAGGACTGGGTAAAGTTTCGTTCTGTTGTACCTAGGGTTAGAGTCGGAACCAACTTGATGGCACCTAATAACAATAACAACAAGTGAAAGCTGAGGTCACTGATTTAAGACATTTCTTATTTCCTGAGTGTTTTAGTGCTTTAAAAATCCATAAATACTGCTTTAGATGCATACCATAAATTTTGATATGTTTTATTTTCATTTTTATTTAGTTCAAAATTCTTTTTAATTTTTCTTTCATCCATGAGTTATTTAGAAGTATGTTACTTAATTTCCAAATATTTTTGGGTTTTCCAGAGATTATTCTGTTACTGATTTTTAATTTAATTCCATTATGATCACAGAACATACTTTGTATGATTTAACTTTTTAAATTTATTGTAGCTTTTTTTTTAAGTGGCCCACAATACTTTCTATCTTCCTATGCACTTGAAAAGAATGTATATTCTACTGTTGTTCGATGGAGTTTTCTATAAATGTCAATCAACTCAGGTTGGTTAATGATGTTGTTCAAGTTCACTATATTCTTGCCATCTTTCATCCCACTTGTTTTATCGATTATTGAGAGGGTGGTGTTGAAATCTCTGATTATAATTGTGAATTCGTATCTATTTCTTCTTCCAGGTCTATAGTTGTTTCATGTATTTTTAAGCTAATTAGGTACATAAGTGTTTAGTATTGTTATATTCTCTTGATTGACCCCTTTGTCCTTATAAAAAGACCTTTTTTTTTTTTATCCCTGGTAATATTCCTTGCTCTGAAATCTACTTTGTCTGATATTAAAATAGTCATTTTGGCTTTTCTTTCATTAGTGCTAACAAAATTTCATTAGTGCTAGCATAAATCTTTTTCCATCCTTTTACTTTTAACCTATTTGTGTCTTAATATTTAAAGTGCATTTCCGGTAGGTAGCATATAGTTTGGTCTTTTTTTTTTAACTCTCTATTTTCTTTTCAATAGTTTCTAATGCTGTGTCTTCAAGTTCACTAATCTTTTCTTACACAATGTTTAATCTGCTATTAATCTCATCCACTGAATTTATATAACAGTAACACATGTTCTAATTCAGAGCACCCTGGGAAATCTCTTTACATGCTAGTGAAACAGAAGCATTAACACCTTCAGGGATCGTACTATATTAAAAAGAAAAGCAGGTGTAAACTTACCCTGGGCACAGGATAAATAGTCTTGGCACAAGCAAATTATAGCATGGTCACAGCTGAGGTTGTCTGCAAAAGAAACAGAGTTGAAGTCACAACACAACACTTGAGAGTGGAAAAATCCTTTCATTGCTGTTATAACACAAAAGTGCAGTTCACTAAAATAAAAACAGTGGGTGGGTGAGCAACTTATCCATCCTGAGGAGCCACCAGGACCAGGTGCTGGCTTTAAAATGAGGTCACATGCTGCACATCCCCCACTCTGCTCTGTGCTCACTCTGATGACACCCAAGGTGCTGTCCCAGGCTACTGGCAGGTGGTCTCTGGCTCTGTGCACATCATTAAGTCTAAAACACACACTCATTTCCTTCCTTCTCCATGGCCTGTGCAGAGACCAGCTGCTTCTGTGCAAAAACTTCCTCTCAATCTCCAGTCCATCACGTTCACAAAGAAATTTCACCCTCACTTCTGCATCAAATTTGAAGGGCATTGTCTAAGACATCTCAGGCAGGTGAGGCCACAGACAGCCACCATGGAGCCTGGGATCTGGTTCAGTGGTGGCTGTAAAATGTGCCCTGTGTTTTCTTATCCACCTGGCTACAGTCAGCAAACAGCTTAAAGAAGTCTGTGTAAGATTTCCACAATGTAATGCCATGTCTTCTTTTATATCCTTTGGAAAATTAAATTCCCTGAGGCTGGCACATTCATTGTTCTTCTGAGGATATGTGATTTTGCAGGCCAACAGGAGGTAGACTGTAATAATGGGTAGCCCTGTCCACATGTCTCTAAGAAATAAGTAGCTGCTTTCAAGTGGAAAACTGCTGCACCTAAGAAGTGGAAGCCTATTGAGGTATTGTCTGTGTATGTCCCCACCTACCCTGAGGGGGGATCCACGTCCTGGTAGGGTAGGCTGACAGAAATTGCATCCTGAGACTCACATGTTACCTTTCTGCTCCCTTCAGGGTTGGATTTCTCTGTTATCTGCCATCATCTTCTCCTTTATAATTTTCTCCACAAGGGTCTTACCTTCTTTTGTTAAATTAGCGCCTAAGTCGTTTATATTTCTGATGGTATTGTAAATGCTATCTTTTTAAAAAAATCACACCTGTTTTCTGCTGAAGAATAGAAATACAATTGATTTTTGTATCCAGCAACATTATTAAACTCTCTTGTTAATTCTAAAAATATTCTGGGAATTCTTTTGAGTTTTCCAACTATACAACCACATAAACTAATGTTAAAAACAAACAAACAAACAACTTTGTCCTTTCCAATCCTTACAGCTTTAGGTTTTTGTTTATTATTTATTTTACCTTATTTCACAGGTGGGGTCTCCAGTACAATGGTAAACAGATATGGGAATGGAAGATATCCTTGTCTTGTTCTTGATCTTAAACATATGCTTTTAATACTTCACCATATCAGGTTAAGACACTTCCCTTCTACACTTAGTATGTTTCATACTTTTCTAAATCAACCAGGCAGCCCCTAAAATCTGAACATTCTAAGAGGACAGAAACCTGGCTAACAGCTTTTGTCTCTCTGGGCAGGGACAGAACCCCCACTCCATGCTCTGGCTCCATTTCTGTGCCTTGGTAAGGCCTGTGCCCCACCCTCCATGCCCATCCCTGTCTTTGCATACCCAACTCTACCATTCTGTCCAGACTGACCACCACACTCACTTCCTTCCATGCCTGTCTTCCACCCTCCTTTGTCAGGTGAGGTGTGAGTGGTCTTGCACCTGGCAGAAGCCACTCTCAGTGTTTTACGTAAGCTCTCAGTCTCACTCCAGCACAGGAGTGAGGGCCTGGGCATGAGCAGGGTCTTCCATGTCCTCTGAACTCGGCCCTGTGGCTGTGCCAGGACAGCTGAGCCCTCAGTGAGGACGATACAGCTCCCCTCACTCACCTGAGTGGCCATTCCTCAGGTGCTCTCTCCCCTCAGTCTCCTGCTCATCCAGTACCCATGGCTCTTCCCCTCGCTCCAGCTGGGAGATCACCTCAGGCTTGGATCCTGGGAGTCCTGCTCGTGGGGAGGGAAGTCCTTCTGTTTACATGGTTATTTCCTACCCTGCCCCACCATGCCATCTACAGGAGCATGATGATGAACAAGACAAACCCTGCACAGGGCTCAGCACCATGGGGAAGACACTGGGTGCATATGCTGTGAGCTTGGGGTCATTGTCCAGACTGAGCATGACCAGCCTGCCCTGAGGTCCCACCCTCCCTGGCGAGCCCCCACTCGCTGTCCCTGTACACACAAGATCTATGTGAGGGGAAGCCTGGCTCATGCTGCCTTCGGGGGCCTTACCCAGAGAGACCACATTCCCGTAGGTCTCCATCATCACATTTCGGTAGAGGCCACGCTGAGCAGGGCCCAGGCGGTCCCACTCCTCCTGGGAGAGGAGCACGGCCACGTCCTCGAAGGTCACCGCAGCCTGGAATGATAGGGGCTGTGCTGGGGTGGGACCAAGTCTGGACATCCACCACAGGGAGTAGGTGCAAATGGATGGGGAGGGGTGTGAGCCAACTTGGGGTTGACTGCAGAGAGAGCCAAGGGCAGAGTGATGGGAAGGCCTGACGGGGTGCAGGGCACAGCAGAGACGTCCAGGCTGCCGTGGAACCCTGCGCCTGAGAGGACTGGGGGAACCTGTTGGCCATGCAGTCCTGGGGAAAGCTCACCTGGCGTCTTGCCACTGGCAGAAGCCCAGCTGCTGCCATTGCCTGGTCTCCCGGGGCCTCTGAGGACACACAGAAATCCACGTGGGGCTGAGGGAGAGGAGAGAGCACATAATGGGTCCAGCCTTGACCCCAGAAGACCCCAATTTCCTGGGAGGCCTCAGGAGGCCCCTGGTTCCCTTGGGCAAGCAAAGTCAGTGAGGGGCATGCTGAGGGAGGACTTCTCACCCCCCACTGCAGCCCTGCTCTGCCCCTGGTGGGCTCCCCAGCCATCCGTGGACTCTGATACAGAGGTCTGGGAGCCACATCCAGGCACTGAACAAACCTGCGGTTCCTGGCCCTGCCCTGGCCAGTGCCTGGCCCCCAGGTCATGGGCCCAGGAAGAACACACTTAACAAGCTCCCAGGGGTCTCACAGCACCAGTGCCAGGGCACCCAGACACCTGGGGACACATACAAACCAGCTGTACCCCATGGGCCCCAAGACTCTAAGTTCTACTCCCTGGACTCTGGGACCTCAGGGTGACCATACTGCACCCATGGCGAGGGAGCTGGCAAAGGCCCTCGGCCACCTGCCTATCTAGCTCACCAGGGACCATCTGACTGGTTTTGTCCCCTCCGGACACCTTCAGTTGCATCTCAGCACACAGTGGGGTTATCCTTGCTCTCCTCTTTACACTCTCACCCAGAATGGAATGTCCTACCTCAGGGTCCTGGAGGAAGGGTTTGCCTCCGACCACCTGCCCAGCATGTCCTGGCTCTGCGAGGTACTGTGACCACTGCTTGGCAGGGCTGCACATGTGAACAAGGCACAGTCAACTTTTGACTTATAGGTGTCATTTAATGCAAGACCCTCATCCATTCTGAACTGACCTAACAAGTTAGCTGAGTTTGGGGCATGCCTGGCTCTTCCCTGCCTGCACATAGAACTTCCAAAATGAAATGATGTAAAAGAAGGAAAATGTGACAAGCCTTCACCATAAAAATACACCACGCAAACTACAGTTACTCACAACTTGGGCGAATCCCACACAACGGTGCAAAAGCAGCCCTCGGCAGAAGAGGCACCATGTGATCCATTTATATCAAGTTCAAAGATGGGCACCACTAACCCAGGGTGGTAAAGGCAGGGGGTCACCCCAGAGGGGCTCCTGGGGGCTAGAGACATCTGTCTCTTGATTTGGGAGCTGGTACTGGGGCATGTTCACATCAAGAAAATTCAGACTGTGCCTTACACTTCAATAAAAAGTCTACATACAACAAAAGTGCCTGATGTAAAATTCCTGAAGAACAAGAGGTAACAGTGGCCAGACTAAGCAGGGCCTGGAGACACTGTGCAGACCCTGGACTCCCGAGACCCGGGGCTACTGTGGGTGGGACCGGGAAGGGTATGAGTTGATCCACCTTGCAGAAGGACCACTCTGGTGGCCCTGTCCGCCCCACAGCAATGTGGGCGAGAGATGGTGGTGGCTTGACAGGGTGTTGGCAGCAGAAGCGTGAGAAGTGGTTAGATTCTGTTGTCACAGGACTTGCTGATGGACTGGATGTGGGGTGAGAAAGGGGAATCAAGGGTGACCTGGGGTCCTGGTGGGCCTGAACAAGGACCTTTTGTCCAGCGAGAAGGGGACACCATGGGTGGCAAGGTTTTGGGGAAATAACAGGAGTTTGGATTTGGACAAGTTAAGGTGAGGTGTCTTATCACACTCCAAACTGCCAGGGGGGAGGGGGGAGACGGAGAGCTCTCCTGTTGCCTTTGGTCCTGTGGAAAATGGGCTTCGTGGTCTTCTGGAATGTTGAGGAGGAATCTGCGCAGGGACACAGAGCTCTGAGCAGTAACAAAAGGAGGCAGATCACCCAGGAAAACACAATCTGGCATAAGAATGAACCATGATACTACTAAACACTGAATAGCGAGGACACAGAAAATTGTGATATAACTAAAGCAACTACATAGTTCATCACCCAAACAGACATTTCAAGTGTGAAAGGAGTGCGGGCGATGCCGGAGTGATGGCAGACACGACTTGGGTATTGGAGGAGGGGCCTGGGAAGGAAGTCCATGGCCATCGGTAAGAATGACGTGGTAGAGGAGTCTGACCTCCTCTAACTTCACAAGGGGGAAGGAGAATCAAGATCAACAGCCCAAGGCTGATTTCTATGAGGCGGAGGTCAGACATGCCTCCTCTCTCCGCCATCTTTACCAATTCTGACACCAACTGTTCCCCAACAGCACTCTCTACTTTTCTGCTAGGTTTGATAATTCATTGCAATGGCCACACAGAACTCACAGATAATACGACTACGGGGTTTATTAGGGAAATAACAGTTACAGTTCAGGCTCAGGAACACTCAGGATACAGTTCTTCCATCAGGACAGCCTCTTCTCAGCCTTGCTTGCCGGCATGCCTCTCTTTGGCCCCAGGCCTCTGCCCTGCTCTGGCAAGTGTAACAAAACTCTTTTAGCTCTGCTGATAAAGTGCCCTGAGGCAGCCCACTCCTCCAGTGTGCCTCAGCCAGAAGGGCTCAGCTCTAGCTCTGTGGGTGGCACACCTAGTTCTACCAAGTGCCTGGAGGCACCCTACCCTGCCAGTAAGCCTCCTGCCTGAAGGCACTTGCTTTCTCACTCAGTGGGCCTGTTCCTATTTCTCTGCCACTGTTTCTCGCCATTTTCACTGTTACAGCTCTCTCTCTCTCTTTCTCCTGGTTCCAGGAACTTCTCAGCACAGGGATCCTGGGTCCAAAGGACACACTCCGCTCTTGGCATTTCTTCCTTGGTGGTGGTAAGAACCTCTTCTTCCTGCCTCTAGGATGGTTCATTTTAAGCCTAGTGGGATGGCAAAACAGACTAATCCCCTTGTTAGGGTTCCATATACCTTATTAGCATGGCCCCATTTGATGGGAGTTACAAAACCAGGGCGAGAAGGGCAAAACAAAAGCGATCCATCGCACTGCAACATCATAACCCTATGTTCTTTATAAAACATCAGATATATGCTCACGTTTACACAGACAAATTTTAGAAAGATCTGAGGAGTAGGACAGGGATACTTGGTGGTGGAGACTGACACTCAACCTCCCCAACCCTTCTGTTCTCCAAAAATGCCAATTCTCCCCAAATTTGCATGTGTGAATTCGTGTAAGTGCAATGAAATTCTAATTAAAATTCCAACAGGAATCTTTGAAAGAAATTAATAAAACGATCTTAAAATTCATATGAAGAATGAATGCTGGAAAACAATCAAGAATGTAATGGGGTGTGGCTGCCTCGTCAGATCTAAGATGCTGTTCACAAAGAAACACATCTGGAGCAGAACAGAGAATTCAGACATAGCTCCAGTAGGCATGAGAATTTAAAAGATGACAAGAGTGGTAAGTTCCAATTCAATGGGGAACAACGGTGCTGGTGTAGGCAGCCATCCAGATGGGATATGCAACAATACATACCAGATTAAGTAAAGATTTAAGTTTGAGCAAGAACAGTGGTTCTCACAGCCTTGCCTCCTGCCCTCCAGGTCACCGCATCTGACCCCCCACCCCGTGGCTGACCTGAAATGTGGTCCCCTCTAGGTCTCCTGGATGCAGCGCTCTCTGGTCTTTGCAGGTTCCTTCTCGGCACACTCCTTCAACTTTACCATCCCCTGTCCACAGTAGTTGGGTAGCCCTTTTGTCCATGAGAATTTGACCTTCTAGTCCCCTGGAAACCTGGTAGTGGTAGATGGCCATTTGTGCTACAACAACCCCGACTGCACCTGGCCTAGGATCCAACAATGAACACCCACAGGAACCCACGTTTAGGAACTCCTTGATTGCAGTGCCCACAGGCCCAGGGCCCACTGGTGCAGATAACTGCAGGATTCGTTTGGTCACGAGGCTTTAGGGTTAGGTGGCTCCTGCACCTCCCTGCATCCCATGTTCCTGCTCCTGAGCTATCCCTGGATGGCTGCGAGGACAACGTCCACTGGCTTGGACTTCCTCTCCCACGTCCTTTTTAGCCATCCTGGCTCCAGGCATGGTCATTGACTCTGAATGTTCATTGAGCCAAGAAGGCTCCTATCTGAGCACTGTAGAGTTGGCAATCCTCCTTCCCTCCAACTTAACATCCATGTGGATATCTCATAGATCTCAGACACTTAACATCCAAAACTGAGCTCCACTCTCACTTCTGCCCCTAACTTGGTTAACAGCAACTCCGCTCACCTGTAGCAGGAGCCCAGCACCCAAAACTTGCCACGTGCTGAGCCATGACCCCTGACCCCCACACCTGTTCATTGGTCATGCTGGCTGCAGCATGAAGAGTTCATTCTTCAGATTCAGAAATTTTGTTTTTGGAAATTTCCCCAGTAAATAACCCAAATCAAAAGGAGGAATCAATAAATGTTCACAGCAGCAATGGTCACTCTAAAGAAAACTGAAAGGACCCTCATTGCCAGGAGCACCATCTGCAGGCAGGCAGTCAACACGTCGAGCTGGCTCTTGTGACCACACGTGACAGGAGCAATCGGCCAAAATGCACGCATGGACAGGAACCAGAAATGGACATGCAAGGATGCCAACAGCTTAGAATTTAATGTTTATTATTTTTTGCTGTATAAGCTAAATTTTAGAAACCCATCACTCTTGTTGGAATTACTGACGGTCTTGGTATGATAGACAGCATGCCTGTCCATTCAGAGGACATGGCATATGGTGACATGTTGTGACAGGAAAGCTCCAAGTCCCATCAGCCCAGTCCCTGGATCTAGGGGGGGCAGCTCACATGATCTGCCCCAGGGCTGGGCTCCGGCCTCCTGTCTTCATTTGTCTACCTTTCCTGCTACAAGCCCTGCTCCGTCTTCATCTCCATCCTTCAGGTGGAGGCACCTTTAGAAGAGGCAACTTCTGAACCACCGATGAGCGCAAAGCTAAGCACTGCTAAATGCAACCACTTCTAATCTTCCAACCTTCCCAGAGTATATGATCAGAAATATGTATCCAAATCAATACTTTTCATTATTTAACAACGTATAGTCAGAAAAGATAAAGGGAAAAAAAGATCCTATCACAATA